AGTTCAAAAGCTCAACTACTTGGCTAACTGATAAGAAATTGAAGTCTAAACGCTCAACTGTTTGGCTAACTGAAGTTGAGGGCTAGTTAAAGGATACCTAGGTAGTTGAGGGCTTACTGAAAAAAGTTGAGCCAGGTTTGCTCAACTGCTGGCACTCAACATTTTTGAAGGGAATAGGTAGCTGACAGCTATCCGCCGTACAGCCCCTATAACTAGTCCTCAACTAAACATTTCTGTAGGGGTAGTGTTACCCATGTTCCCCGTCCCATCCATGAGCAGGGGCATTTGTCTTACAGACATTTTCTAGTTTTCAATATTTTCATTTTTGAAATTCAACCATATCCTCACATACATACTAGTCACAGTGGTCTGGTCGGTGGTTTTTCTCCCTTACACCGGGCTTTCCTCCCCCACCAAGCCTAGCACATCCTTATATTACTATAGCTGTTCATAGGATGTAAATCACAAACAAACCAAATAAAGCCATATTATCTCAATCAAAATCATCTTCTTTAAACTTGTAAAGCAAGGAAGTACAAATGTGTATGGCATAGATTGTAAATAGTCAGAATTTGAAAAATGTAAAAACTATTGAGAGGAGAACAATTTTTGTACTGGAGAACTTTCGCCAAGTCAAATTTTCACCATGTACTGGTATAATTCATTTCTGTGCAGTGTTAATTTAGCCCTTGATGGTTTATTACTGTGTATAGAATCTTGTGTGCTTCCTTTCATCGTCATGGTAAACTCGCCCTCATTACGACTGGCAAAATAAGTGAAAGTGAAACTGGCGAAAATTTCCCTGCGGTATACAATTTATAGAGGATATTTAATGGTGTCTTCAGTAATAACAAGTATATCTCATTAGCCACACTCGTGAAATATAGTTGTTATTACTGAAGATGCCATTACATTTTCTATTTATTACATTTTTAAAGCATAAAACATGAAAAATGTAATACATTAAAAAAAGGGCGGGAATCAGAAGTGTAATGATTATTCTAATGACGTCACGCTTGACAACAAGGCTGTGCGCCATTTTGAATGGGATACTCAAAGCAATTCTGATGTTTTCTGCTATTTTCTGATATGATTGCCTATAAAAATGTTATTAATTGTAAATTTATGTAAATACTGAAGTGTGTGTACCAAACATTTACCATAACAACCACTTCTTCTACCGTCGCTTCATTTGAATCTGAACAAAAAATTGTTGCCTTTGAATGCAGCGAATAGAAGATACCATTATGATTGGTCAATACCAAAAAGTGATATTTTCACACTGTGAAAATATCAGTTTTGATTTTTGTCACAGTGTGAATGATATCAGTTTAATCAAGTTGATAGAATCCAATATTTCACTGGCAAAAATGTAATAAATTGGAATATTCCTCTTAGGTAAGCAGTTTATCACGGCTGAACAGACTTGTCATCAGGGTCCTCATAAACTTTCCGAAAAAGATCTGAATGAAATTATAGTATTCTTAAATGTATAATTAATCATTATTTATTTACGACAATAACGAGACAACATTTTTCAACATATATAAATTACTTTTGTTGGACCAGAGGACTGAAAAAAGCCAACATGGTTGGGCAGGTACATTCAAGCGTCCGATCAGGGAATTAAATTCGGGTCTTTTTGATGAAAAACAATTTTTGCTTATTTCACTGCAATATCACCTAACCACTGTTTATTACTTATAATAAAAGTATATATTTAAATATTTACTGTTATGATAATGGTATTGTACAATTTATGCTACTATTTTTCAACCAAACAGTCCAGCAAATGAAACAGGTTGATTTTTATAATAGTTACTCTCCAATGTAATCAACTCCTTTTTGTAAAAAAATATTTTTTTTCGTAAATAATTGATGAACCAATTGACAGATAACTCCAACTAGGAATGTAAGTTGCTGATAAAATTTTCATTATCAACGAATTGGAAGTAAACATTTGTGTAAAACTTTGTTGATGAAAGCAGGAACATTTCTTCTCTGAAATTCAGTTAAAAACAAATTTTATGTTAGGAACGCAGCCAGTGGAACAGGTATTTTGTGTTGTTGTATCTATGGAGTACCATTTCGATACCAAGGTCCCTCTGGTAAAAGTCTGGTTAGCTTATTGAAAAAATACTTTCATCATTTCATTAAGAATAGCTAAGGTCATTTAATAGGACGTGTTCATTAAGGATATTTTCCGTGTGTTGAAATGCTGTTGAAAAAGCTTATGTGAAGTAATTTAATAGATCAACTGGTTACAGAAATATGAACCTTCCTATATCTTAAACAATTATAACTTATGTCTTTTCACTCTTAAGCTAACAAGTCTTTTCACTCTTAAGCTAACAAGAATTTGAAAATATAAATAATATTGAGAGGATTTAAGTACCAAGGTCCCTCTGGTAAAAGTCTGGTTAGCTTAATGAAAAAATAATTTCATCATTTCATTAAGGATGGCTTGTTTTTATTTTGTTATTTTAAAAAGCTAAGGTAATTTAAGGATGTGTTTATTAACTCATTCACCCCTGAAGACACATTTGAACTCTTCCAATTCAAAGGTTGGAATAGTTCAGTATGATATCTCAGGGGTAAATGAGTTCAGGATAATTTTCCTAATGTTGATTTTCTGTTAAAAAGCTGATGTGAAGGAATTTAATAAATCAACTAAATAGAGAAATTGGAACCTTAATCCTTAATATATTAATCAATTTAAAAGTTTGACTTTTTACTCTAAAGCTAACAAGGATTTGAGCACTCAAAACTTGTTAATGTTTGAAAAGTACATAGCATCATTACATTGCTGTATACGTCGGACCAAACCTACGTCTTTATTTCCTTGTTCAGTTGTTTTCATTGTATAGAACAATTACGGGTCTATTTCTATTGGATATTTTTCGTCTGGGGAACCACGATTAAATGTTCACCACATACGTTCCTGAACATGACACTTTGAGAAAAGACATTTTTCTCAAAACAGAAAATTAATGAAAAAGTTCGGTAAATATATACTTACATTCTAGTGGAAAATTGAAGTTGCAAATTGAAATTGAATTACACCATTTAGATTTCAAGATAAATTTCAAATACCAGTTTAAATGCTTAAAATGCTTAAATAATGTTTTAATAGCTAAGAGTGAGCGATAACAAGTTTATATGTAATTGAGTGTTTAGGATCATGGTTCCTCGGCAGGTAATACAAAATTAGATACCTCGGCAAACACCTGTGCGTTACCTTCAATCAAGAATGGCTGCTTCCTTTTCAAACCTTGGCAGAGTCCATTGACAACTGTCAGGGGGGTTCAGATGGTAGATGAAATTGATGATACGTTGTGGGATTACAAAAACCGGCAGGTTGAATTGTTTGATGTGTGTGTTGTTTACATTAGGGTTATACCACAAGCTGATCTTGTCCGATATCAAGATTCATCTCTGTGACACGTTGGCCTTCTGTCGGAGTGTTTGGTGATGATGTGTAAAAATAAACCCGACACAGACACCAGACTTAATTCCCCCATGTTGATGGGGAAAGATTAAAATGTCTTGTTTAATTTCGTAATTGTAAGCAATTTAAATTGTGTTTAAAGTTATCTGTCTATGTATCTTTAAAACAGTTCTTTTATTAGAAAAGAACTGATTTTACCTAAGATAAGTGTTTGTGTTGGTATTAAGCCCATGCATTATTTGCTCCGGTTACTAGCCCAGCCCTTTATTTAGGTCAGGTGGTAATCCCACTCCTTTATTTAGGTCAGGTGGTAATCCCATCCCTGTATTTAGGTCTAGTGATAATCCCATCCCTTTATTTAAGTTAGGTGGTAATCCCACCCCTTCATTTAGGTCATGTGGTAATCCCATTCCTTTATTTAAGTTAGGTGGTAATTCCATCCCTTTATTTAGGTCAGGTGGTAATTCCATCCCTTTATTTAGGTCAGGTGGTAATTCCATCCCTTTATTTAGGTCAAGTTGTAATTCCATCCCTTTATTTAGGTCAAGTGGTAATCCCATTCCTTTATTCAGGTCAGGTGGTAATCCCATTCCTTTATTTAGGTCAGGTGGTAATTCCATCCCTTTATTAAGGTCAGGTGGTAATCCCACTCCTTTATTTAAGTTAGGTGGTAATTCCATCCCTTTATTTAAGTTAGGTGGTAATCCTATCCCTTTATTTAGGTCAGGTGGTTATTCCATCCCTTTATTTAGGTCAGGTGGTAATTACATCCCATTATTTAGGTCAGGTGGTAATCCCATCTCTTTATTTAGGTCAGGTGGTAATCCCATTCCTTTATTTAGGTCAGGTGGTAATCCCATCTCTTTTTTTTAGGTCAGGTGGTAATCCCATGCCTTAATTTAGGTCATGTGGTAATCCAATCCCTTTATTTAAGTTAGGTGGTAATTCCACTCCTTTATTTAAATCAGGTGGTAATTTCATCCCGTAATTTAGGTCAGGTGGTAATCCCATTCCTTTATTTAGGTCAGGTGGTAATTCCATCCCTTTATTTAGGTCAGGTGGTAATCCCATCTCTTTATTTAGGTCATGTGGTAATCCAATCCCTTTATTTAGGCCAGGTGGTAATCCCATCCCTTTATTAAGGTCAGGTGGTAATCCCATCGTTTAATTTAAGTTAGGTGGTAATCCAATCCCTTTTTGTGGTCTGGTAATTAGCCCACCTCTTAGGTAAATTTAAATTTTACAATTGTCATGCATCATAACTACTTATAAATTGATGTTTTCTTAAAACTATCACAAGGTACCATTTACCAATTCAAGCCGTTTTACATAAAAGGTAAATTCTTTATTGTCTCCCTTGTTCGTGGTATTTCTAGCTTTTTAGATTTTACATTTCTACTCTCTCTCCTACTTACTTTACAGTTGTCTCCCTTGACTACGGCTTTTTACCAAATTTATCGACAGTTAATACTGTATTACCTCTTCCTGGTAGCAAAAGATTTTACTGTTGTATCCTTCTTTCAATTTTAACGATTTTTTGTTGCTGTTGCAGGTTGTAATTCTGAGCAATTTCAGTGTGACGATGGAACATGTATCGAAAAGAGCTGGCGGTGCGATGGTTCACCGGATTGTATGGACGAGAGCGATGAGGCAAATTGTCGTGAGTTAATTATTTCCCTTCAATATATGTTGTCTATCAAAATATATGTAGAAATATATCTTCACACAGCTTAATAAGACAAGCTGAATGATGATCTTCAGACATATGAATAAAATAATAATCATTATGATAATGCTTTATTTATAGAAGGTTGCTCACTTCCTTCCAAAATTTTCTCCTTTGATGCCTTCTTTACAATCTAGCAAATTCCTCAAAATTCCAAGGTTTACGTTCCTGTTATGTTCTATGCACTTCTGGAATATGTCATGACTAAATCCAAGGATCACCTTGTGGATGATATCAAGAAGGCTCAGGTTTGATCCTTAAATTCATTCACCCCTGACATTTCATAATGAACTATTCCAACCTTTTAATTGGAAGAGTTCAAATGTGCCTTCAGGGGTAAATGAGTTATTATTCATTGAAAAACAGTGTGGCAGTAATACGGTAGTAATGCTCCTCTGTAATCTTCAAAGAACAGGTTGATTCGCAAACAGGACTCGTTTGGTTATTTGCATTTTAGACGAATAAATGTTGTTTACATTTTTCGAGAATTTAAACACAATTCCTGGGAGTAAGAGGGTCAGTGAGTGGGACATGATGGACCATTTTGCACATTAAACTTAAAAATGTCCCATTGAAATTAAAGGATGGCTATAAATGTACAGCACATGGATGATAAGTCTTATTGAAATTGTAGATTTTTTTTTAAAAAATAACCCATCGAAGATACGCAAGCTGAATTCATTACATGATGAATATCATCTTTTTTTTAGCTGTTTCTACAAGGAAAAAAAGATTTTCCACAGAAGGGGGTAAGTACTGGAAAGCATGTCAATTATATTTAATCTTTTTCCCCTATTTATGCACATTTCTATATTTTTAGATACTTATTTTGGTTTGTTATAGATATTTGAGTTAGCCCTAACAGTCATTATATTTGTTAATGTACCCTAATTTAATGAATACTTTGAGTTCTATATCATATGAGCAAGTTTGGCATGCAACTGATTATGAGGCCTTTAGTTATGACCCTATAGTCACCTGTTGAGGGTATGTTTAGGTGGGCGCCAATTGTAATAGGATAGGGAAAATGCACGGCCAGACTGGACTCGAACCCAGGACCTCTGAATTCTAGATAGATGTCATAACCAATTGAGCTACCTAGCCTGGTCACCGGTGATTGACCCTGTTCAGTTCCGCTACAGTAGGACATAGGGACTTCAGAAAATCTCTCCTTACAAGTAGTATTGATAGTGATTGTTTGTTATAACTTGAAAAGAGGTGGTACTGACGCGAATAAGTGACATAGACAGGAAATCATATTTCCCTGTTTTTGACCCTCATATTGGAAGACAGAAAGTCCGAGAGACAAACTGCAGCTAACGTATTCTGAAAGAGATGGTATAAAACCATATAGGTAATTGCTTTAGTGGTATTCATGCAATTATTGTGGAATTTAATAAAGGTGGTTACATATACACGTAGAGTGCAATAGGTTGAGAGGCTCCATGAAGTGTTTCAGATTTGGTATGTTAAAAAATCTGCATATCGTAGGTTGCAAATTATATTATTGGAAAACTGAATTATAGACTATGAAAGCAGGCAGGAATTTTCAGAAAACTATGCAGGAAATTTAAATTCACTCATCTAGAGGTACAACATATCTAATGATTTCCCTGATAACTAAGCTATCGATTTGCAAATTCCGTCGGAAAATCCAATTTAACCAGCAATGTGATGCATATGAAACGAGCAGACGGCAGGATTGTGGGGCTGCTACCATGGCCGTCAACATACCAGTGTGCTTGTTTATATAATATAATCAGTGTGCAAAAACTCTTAAATTGAAAAAGTAAAATAAGATAATATTGTTTAGATTCACTCTCAGTGTTAGCATTTTAGTCTTGAAATCAGTGCAGCTGATGAGTTGTAAGTTGTAAGAGTTGTATCGAGGTTAAAATATACTTCTGTAAGTTAAGCTAAAGAATTCGAAAGGCGAGTTCTGTTCCGTCTCGTTTGTTTTACTGGGTTAAGATTAGAATACTGGCCTACCCAGGCCACCACTGACATCTTTTATTTTTGGTGTAGGGTTAGAATTTTATAGCATGCAGATTTCTATCTAGATTACCATTGTGGATCCCGGTAATCTGTAACCAGATAATTACCTTTATTACGTACCTGTGTAATTACTGTTAATTAACTGTGTTGTACATCTCGTACCTGTTAATTAGCTGTGCTGTACATCTCGTACCTGTTAATAAGCTTTTGTGTGCTTTTCTTACCTGTTAATTAGCTGAGCTGTACATATTGTACCTGTTAATAAGCTTTTGTGTGCTTTTCTTACCTGTTAATTAGCTGAGCTGTACAAATTGTACCTGTTAATAAGCTTCTGTGTGCTTTTCTTACCTGTTAATTAGCTGGGCTGTACATATTGTACCTGTTAATAAGCTTCTGTGTGCTTTTCTTACCTGTTAACTAGCTTTGTAAACTAGATATTGTATGTCTGTAAAACCTGTTGATAAAGTGTTGTGTACCTGTTGATAAAGTGTTGTGTACCATAGCCAGTTGATAAAGTGTTGTGTACTTATTGATAAAGTGATGTGCAAATGTTGATAAAGTGTTGTGCACCTGTTGATAAAATGTTGTATACCTGTTGATAAATGTGGTGTATACCAGTTGATAGCATGTTGTATACCTGTTGATAAAGTGTTGTGTACCTGTTGATAAAGTGTTGTATACCTGTTGATAAAGTGTTGTATACCTGTTGATTAAGTGTTGTGTACCTGTTGATAAAGTGGTGTATACCTGTTGATAAAATGTTATGTACCTGTTGATAGCATGGTGTATATATCTGTTGATTAAGTGTTGTATACCAGTTGATAGCATGTTGTATACCTGTTGATTAAGTGGCGTATACCTGTTGATAAAATGTTATGTACCTGTTGATAAAGTGTTGTGTACCATAGCCAGTTGATAAAGTGTTGTGTACTTATTGATAAAGTGATGTGCAAATGTTGATAAAGTGTTGTGCACCTGTTGATAAAGTGTTATGTACCTGTTGATAAAGTGTTGTATACCTGTTGATAGCATGTTGTATAACTGTTGATAAAGTGTTGTATACCTGTTGATAAAGTGTTGTATACCAGTTGATAGCATGTTGTATACCTGTTGATTAAGTGTTGTGTACCTGTTGATAAAGTGTTGTGTACTTGTGTTATCTGTTTATTAACTGGTGTGTACCTGTATTACCTATTGTTAACTATTAAAACAAAAAATAATACCAAAAAATGTCTGATACTTTGTGATAATACACCAAAAAGCAAAATGGGTTATCCAGAAAGACCTATTCCAATAAAATAAATATAATCTACGCCCTACTACTACTACTAGGGTTCAGTGTATTCTACACTGTGTTTATCCAGCTTTCATGTCTAGCTATCCTTTCATTAATACTACTGTGCTTTGCTTTTGCCTATCCCTAATAATCATAGGTCTCTATGATGAATTTCACCCTCGCCTCAATGACCTTGACCCTCACAACAATGATGTAGCTAAAGGATGGTTTTGTAAGTACATTCCCTGTCCCAGGGGACCTGATTTTCTGCCCCTTGGTTCCCCCTCCCCCGGGGCATGTGGTAGTAGGTAGAATAGATGCATGCCTGTATTGTCTACCACTGTTTTGTTCAATTGTTTTACAAAGCCTTTTCAGCTTGAAGACATATTGACACAAATTTCCAATGCAAAATATTTTCAAAAATATTGAGACTTATCAATAAAGATGTAGGCATATACTACTTATTAATAAATTAAAAACAGAAGCAGCAGATTTTTTTGTTAAAAATGTGAATTGAAATGTGCTTAACAATGCATAAAAAATATGCTTTTCTGAAAATTTGAATTACTGATGCATTAAGTTGCTAATGCTTTTTGCAGTCTGGTTTTCTAATTGTTCAACTTCAAAGAGTGGTTAGCTTGATCAGATTTGCAAACTGAAATTTCAATTTATCTGGATTATATCAATTGGACAATAGCTTTAAATCATTGTAAATATAAAAGAAATAATACTTTATGAATTTCAATTAATTAAAAGTTGCAACATGCATAATATGTACATAGTTTGTGTATAAGGTAAAACTTTGATGCATATGAATTTCAATAATTTTGAAAATATCCTACATTAAGGTAATTAATGTCAGATTGTTTTAAGAAAAAGAAGGCTTTGAGTATTTGCTTGACAATTTTAGAATCACTTGCATGGAACCAATGTTAGTTTTGGGAACCATTTTGGGCTCACTGGCGGGTATTTGTGTTGAAATTTGGTTGCCATAAATCTATAGTTACTTGACTGTTGTGACCTTGATGTTTTGCAACCCATGCAGTTATTGACCTTTCACCTTGTACGATCACTTGTCCTGTGACCGCCTTTTTGTTTCAAAGATTTTATCACGGTGCATGCCTCTACTTATAAGTATATAAGTCTTTGTTACAAACTTCTATAGAATCAAAACCAATGTTTCCAGAAATGTTTAAGTTGGTTCACCTTGCACATATGATATATGATATATGTGAGAGGGTCACAGGTTATGGGAAGTTTTTTTTTGTATTTTTTTTTTTTTCAGGTTGAAAAAGTTTAAAAATCATTTCAAATTGACATTGTCGGCTAAGAACCACAAACAAGTTTTCCCAAACCCACAATTATAATAACTAAATGGTTACAGAAGATGTTATGTCTCAACTTTGATCTGGTCAGACTAAATCTTGTCCGACATCTGGTGTTGTCTCCCCTTCGTGGACTCTGTTGCTGCATACCGGAACTTTCCGGAATGTTTTAAACATTCATTCAATAATTCCTGCAGTCCATATTTGTTTCAAGTGCATTAAGTCCATCTAATGAAGAATATATGCTTCAAACCTGTAGCGCATTCTATTCCAGTTGTGCTAACTTGGAACTATTCTGTCAACTCATTCACCCCTACATATCTAAACTGGACTTGCCCAGTCATTGATTTGGTAAGGTTCAAATGTGACTTGAGGGGGGTGAAAGAGTTAATTGAAACACTGTTTTCAGAATTACGTTCTTGCACATGGAAATTTAATATAATCTAAAATAGAAAAAAAGGACAGTTTCTCGGGAATAAACCTCAACAGTTCTGGCGTGAACAAAATTGAAACAATGCAGATTATTGCCTGAATGTACAAGTTTAACAAAAAAAAATATTTATTCAATTTTTTTTCATAATCACATTTTACTACAGTTACATGCACATTACAATTGTTTCATATAGCTATTTTTGTTCTGTAAAGTTTAACATACTGTGACGTAAAATGGAGACGAAAATAATAATTATTTTAGATTGATTGCATACAGTTTAAATTGTTACACATAAACCAATATTCAATTTGGTGAATATCTGATATGAAATCTTTTCACTGGCTGCTATTTGGGTCCAACTTGGTACCCTCAAATGAGACGTTTCTAAGATGAACAAGTTCACTCCTGTGGATCATCACAATTTTTCGGTTCTATTTTTTGGTAAAAATTGTTGGTGGTTCTTATCCAGGTATTGCTAATTACTTGATTGAAGTTATTGATGATAAAAGTAGAATCTGGGTCCATTATATATGACATTCTAAACTCAAAATGGTACACGTCTCTATCAACTTGTGAAATATTCTCAAACCCCACCTTACAACATCAGAAGTGTTCTGCACCGTAGTACACCGATAACATTTTGCGTCTTACTTTGTTTTGCCCACCTGTCAAATTCTTACATGTTCCCTTATCTAACCCTATCTCCCGTCTGTGTATCAATAATATGCCCAGGAAAGCAGTGTTATCTTGGCTATTATGTAATGTTACGTAGATATCAAAGCCTATTTCGCAATCGAGTTATAGTGAGTGCACCTATAAGTATTGCTCATGTGGTGCAGTAATATATTAACCCGTCTATGGGAGTTCAGTGTAACGAGATTGTATGCACTAATTCTGACAGAAACTCATGCTTACAGTGAATATTTTGGACTGTTACCACAATGTTATAAGCAGGTACAAAAGCAAGTAGGCGCAAAACTTAAAATAATGATATATTGTTATTTTGGTCCAATGTGACTGTCTCAGGCTGCAGAATCGGATTAAATTGACATTCTGGTAGAAACTGAATGTATAGTCATTTCCCATTTAACTGTACGTCAGCTTATTAGAATTATTATGTTTGAATCGGGCTCTGCCAATTCTTACCTCACATATTGTTTACATAAATTTACCCACTGAATGCACTGTAGCTCCTTAATGTTTTAAAAACTAGAATTTGAGTATATACTCTTCTTGATATTTCTTATCGGTGTAAGTCACCAGAAACTTTTGCCACTGTTACCATGGTGTTCACTGTTACCATGGTGTTCACTGTTTCCATGGTATCCCACTGTTACCATGGCGTTTCACTGTTTCCATTGTATCCCACTGTTACCATGGTGTTCACCGTTACCACTATATCCCACTGTTACCATGGTGTTCACTGTTACCATGGTGTTTCACTGTTACCATGTTGTTTCACTGTTACCATGGTGTTCACTGTTTCCATGGTATCCCACTGTTTCCATGGTGTTTCACTGTTGCCATTGTATTACATTGTTACCATGGCATTTCACTGTTTCCATTGTATCCTACTGTTCCCATGGGGTTTCACTGTTACCATGGTGTTTCACTGTTACCATGGTGTTCACTGTTGCCATGGTATTACATTGTTACCATGGCATTTCACTGTTTCCATTGTATCCTACTGTTCCCATGGTGTTTCACTGTTACCATGGTGTTTCACGGTTGCTGTGGTGCTTCACTGATACCATGACTTTTCACTGTTCCATGATCTTCACTGTTACCATGGTGTTTCACTGTTGCCATGGTATTACATTGTTACCATGGCATTTCACTGTTTCCATTGTATCCTACTGTTCCCATGGTGTTTCACTGTTACCATGGTGTTTCACTGTTAACATGGTGTTTCACTGTTCCTGTAAGGTATCCCACTGTTACCATGGTGTTTCACTGTTACCATTGTGTTTCATTGTTACCATGGTGTTCACTGTTTCCATGGTATCCCATTGTTACCATGATGTTTCACTGTTACCATGGTGTTTCACTGTCACCATGGTGTTTCACTTTTACCATGGTGTTTCACGGTTGCTGTGGTGTTTCACTGATACCATGACTTTTCACTGTTCCATGATCTTCACTGTTACCATGGTATTCCACTGTTACCACAGTGTTTCACTGTTTCCATGGTATTCCACTGTTACCAAAGTGTTTCACTGTTACCATGGTGTTTCACTGTTACCATGGTGTTTCACTGTTCCCACAGTGTTTCACTGTTACCATGGTGTTTGACTGTTACCACAGTGTTTCACTGTTACCATGGTGTTTGACTGTTACCATGGTGTTTCACTGTTACCATCGTGTTTCACTGTTACCATGGTGTTTCACTGTTTCCATGGTGTTCCACTGTTACCACAGTGTTCCACTGTTACCACAGTGTTTCACTGTTACCATGGTGTTTGACTGTTACCTTGGTGTTTCACTTTTACCATGGTGTTTCACTGTTACCATGGTGTTTCACTGTTCCCACAGTGTTTCACTGTTACCATGGTATTCCACTGTTACCACAGTGTTTCACTGTTACCATGGTGTTTCACTGTTACCATGGTGTTTCACTGTTACCATGGTGTTTCACTGTTTCCATGGTGTTACACTGTTACCACAGTGTTTCACTGTTTCCATGGGGTTCCAATGTTACCACAGTGGTTCACTGTTACCATGGTGTTTCACTGTTTCCATGGTGTTCCACTGTTACCACAGTGTTCCACTGTTTCCATGGTGTTCCAATGTTACCACAGTGTTTCACTGTTACCATGGTGTTTCACTGTTTCCATGGTGTTCCACTGTTACCACAGTGTTCCACTGTTACCACAGTGTTTCACTGTTCCCATGATATTCAACTGGTACCATTGCGTTTTACTTGTCCCATGGATTTTTGTTCACCATGGAATCTCAATGTTAACATTGCACTTTTACCATGAAATCCCGTTGTTCTATTACCATGAAATTTCATTATTATCATAAAATCTCACATTAACCATATGATCTCACTATTTATGTGGTATATCACTTTAACCATTAAGCCTACTCATATTTGGTGTTCACAGCTGGTATATCTCCGGACAGCCTGCTGCCCTGTTTGCCAAATTATAAACGATGTCCCGACGAGGAGGTCTGCATTCCAATTTATAAATTCTGTGATAATGAAAGAGACTGTAAATCAAATGGAGATGAGGAAGGATGTTCAGGTAAGACCAGCTTTATCTCATTATTACCATGATATCTCAGGTAGGACACAATTGTGTCAGTGTAACCATGGTATCTCAGGTAGGACCACCATTGAGTCATTGTTACCATGGTATATCAGGTAGGACCACCATCACTGGTGGACCCTTAACGTGTATTTTTTTCATTTTTTCGTTTAATTTTCAAAAATCGTTTAGTTGTTCTCTTTTTGTGTGTATTTTTTGGATTATAGTTTATATTTGACGAGTCACCGTTTATTGTTTAAACCGACGTTTATTCTTCGCAGACTTGTGTTTAGTTTTGAGTATAACAGTTTGTTTTATAAATGCATGTTAACTTTTCACGGAACAGAGTTTGTTTTATAACTACATGTTTACTTTTCTTGGCCCAGTGTTTGTTTTATAACTGCATGTTTACTTTTCACGAAACAGTGTTTGTTTTAAAACTGCATGCTTAATTTTCACGGAGCAGTGTTTGCGTGTCAAGGAACAGTGTTCCGTTTTGGTGGAGCGTTGACCTCTCGCGGCAAATCGTTTAATTTTAGCAGAAATCGTTTAATTTACGAATTTCTTTTGTTCTGTCGGGTTCTTTCATGTCTGCCGACCGGCCACGCTCTCGTCCGCGACAGGCCTACCTTATCGGCAGTGTAGTGGCGCGCACCAGCCAAAATTTACCTGAGCTCGGTCAGAGCGCTCACCCATGACGTACGTAGCCGTCGGCTACCGGTAGTCCGAATCGTAAATAGTACCGCTGTAACTGGTTCGTCATTTTCCATTGCATGCACTAAAAGTGACGTTTATGTTACTAAACACACGATTAATCCTTTGTTCTACGCCACCAACATAAAGTGGGCGTTTTCCTTGTTTTACGAAACGTTAGTTTTATTGTACAACATGATCATCGAATCAATGTACCCAAAGTACGTGTTTTATTGTACAACATGATCAGCGAATCGATGTACCCCAAGTACGTGTTTTATTGTACAGCATGATTAAAATACAAGTGAATCAAACTATCCTTAATACGTGATGTGTTGTACAGTATGATTAAAATACAAGTGGATCAAACTATCCTTAGTACGTGTT